AAAAAAATACAGTAGTTTCACTTACTCTATGCAGTGGATGGATGAGTTTGTGTTGCCGTGATAGTGGGGACTCGGAACGACTATCATTCTGAGTTAGAGGAGCAGGGATGCCCTTCGTTTTTTTTTTAGTAACTGACACTTGAATATTATTGTAACAACAAAATAAGAGAACAGATAAAAAATATCTTCATTGTGACCCTAAATTTTAAAAGATTGAATTATAACTCGTAAATAGTGTTGTCTCAGGATTTTATGATGTCGCTACAAAACAATGGCTGTGATCAATGGCACTTTGTCAACTTCATTGTAAAATAATTGTATTTTTAAAATTAATTTCTCAATCTATTATCCTTCTGTCATTATACTCAACAGTACTGAGAAAGTAACAAACAACTATTATTCTTTACTTTAAATGCATAATGCTGTAATTAATTAGCACAAAGAAGATAAACTACACGGGTACCTAGTGACAGCACTAGGATCCTGCTTCCTCTATCAAGGAATAAACAATTGAAATTGATAAACTACAACACAGTCTCAAATGTATACACACTACACTGCCCTACATATCTTTGTGAAGATGACATGAAGACTTGTATTACAACAACATTGTCAACAAGTGAGGACAATGTTGCTGTTGTAATACCAACATTAACTCGCTCCACAAAAGTCTGTAAGGCAGGGTGTGTACCTTTATAAGCGACAGCCTTTATACGGTGCTTTTACCCTCTAGTTTTTAGGTAAACCAGAAAATTATATAATCTGGCTCTGTTGAGGTACCAAGTTTGCCAGAATAGTGTATACAAACATAAGACAGACTCATCTACAGCACTTATAGGTCTTGATGAAGAAAGTTCAAGATGCACCATACAGTCATCCCTTGGTGATAGGGCACTTGGTTATCGCGATTTTCTTTATCACGCCTCCGTCAAAATCTGCACACCTTCTGTTATAGTGCATTTTTCAGGCCGAGAATTTTGTTATCACGCAGTTGCCTCCAGGTTTATTGTTACCCCCTTGCTTCACCTACATCTATTGAGGTTAAAATCTTTCACCTACAAATTGACAATAACACCCAAAGTCTTGGGTGCACTCTAAGATTGAGAGAAAACGGAGGACTCGGGCGTCCTGAAGTGATGAGAAAACGGACTCCTCCGACGGGGGTCTCAAATAAAGAAAGCATAGCTACATGTTTTGTGGACTACAGTATTAAGCGTACCCTTTTCATCACTTTGTAATAAACCTATCCATGCCTATGTGTGTTTCTGATACCATAACATTATCTATATCTTTAGTGGGTCTAAATGGTCATCAAATGGGAAACTTGGGGTTGGGTCTTGGGTGCCTGGAACCAATTAGAATAAATCCCATAGGTTCTGTACTTTTGTTATCGCGTTTTTCGTTATCACGCACTCGGCGCGGTCCCAATTAGGTGTGATAACCAAGGGATGACTGTACTGTAGTAAGATGATGTTTTAATACTCGTAAAAATGATTTAATTCTGCAATTAAACCCGTGGAGATCCGCGTAAAACGAGAAACGCGTAAAGAAAATAACAGAACATATGGGATTAATTGAAATAGAGACTGGGCTGACCCCCAGACTACCCTTTTTCCGACACAATACGTACGTTGTAGTAAAAATAACATCTTTATTTTATGATGGTATGCACACAATTAATATTTAAGAGAAATATCAATAATATTAGGTTTTTTAACACTTTAGTTAGTAGAAGAGGTGGCTGGACACACGGGGATGGGGGGGTTGGTTCCGAGGCAGAGGCTTGCAGGGCCTCTTTGTCAAACCCCTCAAAGTTCATATCCTCACTATCACTATCAATGATTTGGGCCGGCTGTGGTGGGTGGCAGGTGAAGAATTCGGTAATGTTTTGTTTACTGGGCGACCTTCTGCACACCCTGCCTGCGCCGCTTCCCGCGTAAATGATGGAATGAAACGTGTAAATAAAAAGTTGTCAGTCTGGCAAGGTGCTGCGTAAATGACCAAACGCGTAAACCAAATCCTCGTAAATCGAGACTATACTGTATTATTATTATAAAAAATATTTTTAAGCTCAAGGTCCCCCCCTGGCCCGGTCTCCTCGGGCACCGTTGTTAATGCAGCCCTGGGTCAGAGGTGTACAGTATTGTTGAATTATTATTATGTGACCTCGGTTGGTCCGGCAAAACGGATAATCCGTCAAGGCTTTGGATCCAAGGGTGCCAGAAAATCGGTGGTGTACCTGTACAGTCGGCCCTTCACATACGCGGGTTTAGCATTCACGGATTTGCAAATACGCGGATTGCCCCGCCGGAGGAATATTCTGTACATTGAAGTAATTGAAGTACATTCAAATCGCGCGCCATTCAACTCACGCGCGGCACCGAACACGGGACACCGCCCGCTCCCGCAACCTCTCACACACACACACACGCATAGCTCTCCCTCACTCAGTCAGTCTATCTGTAACCACGCTTGTGTTGACATCAGCATTGTAGTTGCAAAAATATTACATTTCCGTGAATGTATTATATCAAGCACAGTATGAATAGAATATCACTAATATAAGAGTACAGTATTTTATCCGAAAACTACTAAAAAAACGAGTAACATCTCTTGAACATCGGAAGGTTAGGTAAAGTCTCTTGTTTTCGTCATGTATTTTATCCTATTTTACATTGAAATACATCACGTTTCAGCAAAACTACTATTTATTGAGAATATATTCATTCAGGCACAGTTTAGGTAAAATATACATGTGCTGTAACATTTTTTTAATTGAAAACGATTCGAAAAACACGTACCCTCTAGCCCTGTTCAAGGAGAAGACTGGGAGGAGCTGTTTGGTGCTTAAGACAATGACAAGGAAAATGATTTTGATGGATTTTAATGAAAATATTCAGAAAGACCCTGGCACTGTCAAGGAAAGTGGCTGCTGAAGGCGTCCGGGACATGGCAGAGGACGAGATTAGGGAACTAATTGAAGAGCACGACACTGAGCTGACCGAGGAGGATCTACAGGAGTTAGTAGACTCAGGCAAGGAAGAGGAAGCGAAAGGGAAAGAGGAAGAGGAAGAGCACCAAGAAATAACATTGGAGAAGTTGGGGGAGATGACCTGGAATATTGAGGCACTGAAAAACCTGGCCTATAGTATGGACCCCTCCATGGTGCGTGCCCTGAAATTCATGCGAGGGATGGATGACGTTTTCGCTCCATACAAAAACATCATGGAAGAAATGAATGAAAGAGACGACAACTCCCCATCACCATGTTCTTTGATCACCGAAGGAGAGATTTAACACCAATCACTGGCGGCATTGAGGAAGCAGCTGAATCCACCGTCGCCCCCACTTAACCACCTGTTATGGAATTGAGTGACGATGAGCCCTATGACCCCCGTCATGTTGCCGAGGATAGGAACTGTACAGTAAAGTGAAATTTTTATCTCTTTTTTTTTTTAATAGCTTTTCTTGCCATGTTTATTGTTTGTAAAAATGTACAGCACAGTACAGTTCAATACTGTACATAGGAAGTGGAGGTGCAGTTATTCACAAAACATTTGTGTTTGTTGTCGGCAGTAGTGACGGTGGAGGTGGAGGAGGCGGAGGAGGGAGCGAGTTGGGAGGAGTGGTGACCTTGGACGCGGGAGCAGGGACGAGATGCCAGCCAGTACATTACGGGTGTATTAATTGTTTTCATAGCTATTTTTGCATTTTAATATTAAATACTGTACATTACGTTTCAACAAAACTACCATTTATTTCTGAGAACATGGAAATGTAATATTTTTGCTGAAATGATGCACGTATTACAGTGGAAAGTGACGAAAGTAATGACTCGCTTTCTTTCGTTCAAAAGATGTTACCGTAATCGCTTTTCGAATGGTTTTCAGTTGTGGGATTATAAGGCTAATGATAGGATAGAATATTATTATAATACAGTACGAGTACAGTACAACAGTTTTTTAACTGAAAACCATTCGAAAAGCGATTACGGTAAAATCTTTTGAACAACGAAAGAAAGCGAAAGTCATTGTTCTCATAATTTTATCCTACTTTCCACTGTACAGTAATATGTACGTCATTTCAGCCAAAATATTACATTTCCATATTTATTTCTGAGAATATATTCATTCAGTCACAGTTAAGGTAAAATATACTTGTGATGTAATATTTTAATGAAAATACGGTATCGTAGTTTTCTTTTGTATCAAATTTAATTTACAAAGATTGATGTTTCAAATGTAATGAACAAAAATTTATGTACAGTATCTATAAATAAACTTTAACAAATGAATACTTTGTTTTACATCGTCCTGTGTATACCATACCATGGATTTGGCTACTTTGGGCTAGCTATGATGACACAAGAGATCTGCCCTGGCAACTGTACCGACACTCACAGCTGGTGGTGCGTTGGTGCGTCGTTTCCATTGTTTACTGGTAGTTACTGGTAAATATTTTTCAACCTAACGAAACTATTACCCTTTTAGAGGTCGACCCCCAATTTTTTGCAAAATAATTTGGTCTTAAAAACTCGAACTACACACAGGTATATACGGTAAATAAGGACATGGGGGGCCAGGGGTTTTTTAGGGGGGGCAGCAAAAGTACACGGAAGTTTAACATTCACGGGTATCTCTGTTACCTAACCCCCGCGTATGTTAAGGGCCGACTGTACTTCATTACTGCCCACCACTGGAAATCTATATGTTTTTAATTTATTGTTTAATTTATAATACATTCCCTAAATACTGTTGTCACATTAATTGTTTATTTATTAAATATATTCATTATGTGTTTCAAATGTTTATACAGAGAAATTAATAATATTATGGGGCAGTAGGATAATGTACCGTTACGTGTAAATATCAACTTCCTATTTAACAGGAATTTCTATGATCCAGTGCTGCCCTGGTTACAAGGTTGCCTGATAAGAGAGGGTCAACCTGTATTAGGCATCATCATTGTCTGCTATGTGTTACAGTTCCATTATTTTACAGACTCACAACTAGAGGAAGATGAGCAAGGAGACAGTAAGGCTTGTCATCATGTCAGTACGAAAACAACACGACGTGCTAGCGAAATCCTCGATGATGATCTCTTTGAAGATGATGTCCTTTCAGTAATAGATGAAGTGGAATGTGAGTAAATTAAAGTTTCAATCAGAGAATTTAACATTTTAGTTAGCCACTCGTATATCCCCAATAGTTTTTACTCAATTGTGAAAGATATATTAATTTAGGTTTTGTCTCGTACAAATTAGAAATTACTTGAAGCATATAAACAATGGTTAAATCAGAAATTTGATCATATGGGAATATTTAGACAGTAAATTGGTTGACCGTGTTTGTCCACCTAATGTTAATTTTGAAAAGAGACAACCCCCGAGGTCATTGGTAGTTTTAATCCTCTCACCAGACACTCTGAGGTTATGGATAGGTTCCGTTCCTGGAGCCTGTCTAAGCCAGAAGTGACCCTTCCATAGGTAATCATTGTAAACACAGAAAAAAGGCATTTAGTTGAAGAGAGTCTCAAGCAAGATGTTACCTCCACTGGATGGTGCACATAAAACTAGTTTCATTACCTTCAATTATGTTCAATAATAGTTAAAATGACTAAAAAATTTAATATTAAAATTTTAAAATTATTGAATAGTATAAACTTCTTGATATTTGCTAAAATGGTAAGGAATTTAAGCCCTAGAACCGATTACTGCATTGGCGGACTAATACTACAGCTGGTGGACCGTCAAATGCAAGCGAAAACATGTTCAGGTCGGCTCGTAAGAAACTCATTAATCGAGGGATTGCTCGTTAACCGAAGTTAAGATTCTTAAGGAAGGTAACTCGTTAACCGAAATCTCGTTAACCGAGGCGCTCATTAACCGAAAGACCACTGTATTGTATTTTATTGTAGAATTTTTTTTTTTTTTTTTATTTATTTATTTTTTTTTTTTTTTTTTATTTATTTTTTTTTTTTATCTATTTCGGACTTACGACCTGGATTTGGGTCCGTATCCCCGTCGTAAGTCGGGGAGCACTTGTAGTGTCCTTCCTCTTCTTTGCTCTTCGTGACGTGTTGTAGCAAACGTGCCACTGCTTCTGTGCTTTCTTCTTGCCAGGTGTTGTGGTAAGGTGGAAGGAAAGTGGCGACCTCTGAGGCAGAGAGGTGTGTCACGAGCTGGATTACGAGGTGTTACATGTCATTCTTGCCAGTATGTCTGAAACATCTTCCTCACCACTTCAACAAGAAGATGAAGTATTCTGATCTTAGAGTGGATCATTAACCGACTCAGAAAAATCATCTGGGGTAAGCTCTGATGTAGGCTCGTACTCGACGGTGAGTTCCAAGTATTCCGCCTCAGTCCGCCTTGAGCGAGAGCATTACTCACTTGGTGATGAACACTGTCGCCACTGTGGCATGCAGATCGTAGAGCTATGTGGCCCGGGAAGCAGCATTACCAGCAGGCAAGAAGGGGGTGATAATGTAGCTCAAAGCCGCATCTCGCTACTACCACAAATATGAGTTCAGGACAATGCTAAATCTAGTCTCTTCCTTTTACGGGATTAGCGCAGGTCGTGGCTGGTCACCAATCCCGCATAAGTACAGTGGTCCCTCGGTCAATGAACACAATTCCTTCCACAGAGTTGTTCATTAACCGAATCCATTATTTCAATGGGATATTGGTTCCAGCTGACAGAAAAGTACATACAAAGTAAAGTCAGAAACACTCCTAAAATTCCCCTAAATCGCCCTTAAAACGCTATACTATATATACAGCTCCTCCCTGACATATGACAGGGTTAAGGACCCAAATCCAGGTCGTAAGTCGAAATGGTCCTAAGTCGAAAATTTTTAAATTATACATATAAAATCTAAAATGGGTGTCTCTTTTTCTTCTCAGCACCACAAACTCACTTTTAAGCTTGCCAGCCATTTTAAAGTGAATTACAAACGAAAATTTTCTTTGTGTACTGACGTTGGGACTCGAAAATACGTAATTTGACAAAGTTTTGGTACGACTGAGGCAGGTCGTAAGTGCGGGTGGTCGTAAGTCGAGTAGGTCGTAAGTCGGGGAGGAGCTGTATACGTACATGTACACACTTACTCTTAAATCACTACTGTAATATGATACAGGTGATTAATTTGTATCTCTTGTGCAAAATATATGACATTTATATTAAAATTATTCACTGTCTTGCAAGGATTCCAGCAATGCAAATTATATTCTTGTAACTTTAGTCTGAGATATTATATAAGATAAAAACTGTAAGCCTAAAACCCTGGCTGGGCAGATGGAGGAGAGGGAGGGAGGGAGCGAGCAAGTGTGCGTGAGGGGGGGAGCGGGAGGTGAGGTGATATGTTTGACAGTTGGCGCCCAAGGTCTAATGTGTGTTTATTTATCAGTCCCTAAGTGACTAAGCTTTTCTCTTATAAAATGCCAGTGAAACGTCCTGGGAGAATATAATTTACAATGCTGTAATTCTTATAAGATACGGATTAATTTGAATATAAACAAGCTACAATTTGCACTGACATAACAATATTAGTACCCTAATAATTTAGTACATGTACTGTACAGTACAGGTTTGTACTTAGGTCATTTATTTCTTTTACAATTCTTTTAATATGGTGTGTGCATGTAAATGAATGAAAATAAATGAAAAATGTATGTAAATCTAACCAAAAATACAGTTGAAATACAGTTACATTATAAAATGTACTACAGTACACCAATGTACTAAAAATTTTATCTCTTGTGCAAAATATGACGTTTATATTCAAATTATTCGCTGTCTTGCAAAATTCTAGCGATGCAAATTATATTTGCCTAACTTTAGTCTGAGATGTTATATAAGATAAACACTTAAAGCCTACTGTATAACCACCAAACCTTTGTGGGGGGGAGGGAGGGAGGGAGGGGTGACAGTGACGTGTTTGACAGTTAGTGCCGCCGAAGGTCTACTGAAGTATTTAGTTGTTTATTTATGCCCTTTAGATTGAGTTTATGGTTTTGCTTGTAAAATATCATAGAAGTGACAGGGGAGAATATAATTTACATTGCTGGCATTCTTATAAGATAGTGATAAATTTGAATGTAAACATGCGATAGTTTGTACAAGACAAAAAATTTAGGAATCATTTTGTTCATTACAGTCGGCCCTTAACATACGCGGGGGTTAGGTAACAGAGATACTCGTGAATGTTAAAAATCTGTGTACTTTTGCCCTTTAAAAAACCTGTTTATGTCCTTTTACTGTATATACCTGTGTGTAGTTTGAGTTTTTAAGACCAAATTATTTGGCAAAAAATTGGGGGTCGACCTCTAAACGGCTAATAGTTTCGTTAGGTTGAAAAACACTTTACCAGTAACTACCAGTAAACAATGGAAACGACGCACCAACGCACCACCAGCTGTGAGTGTCGGTACAGTTGCCAGTGCAGATCTCTTGCGTCATCATAGCAAGCCCAAAGTAGCCAAATGCATGGTATGGTATGCACAGGATGATGTAAAACAAACTATTAATTTTTTAAAGTTTATTTATAGATACTGTACATAAATTTTTTTTCATTACATTTGAAACATCAATCTTTGTTAATTAAATTTGAAACAAAAGAAAACTACGATACCGTATTTTCATTAAAATATTACATCACAAGTATATTTTACCTTAACTGTGACTGAATGAATATATTCTCAGAAATATATATGAAAATGTAATATTTTGGCTGAAATGACGTACATATTACAGTGGAAAGTGGGATAAAATCATGACGAAAACAATGACTTTCGCTTTCTTTCGTTGTTCAAAAGATTTTACCGTAATCACTTTTTGAATGGTTTTCAGTAAAAAAAAATGTTGTACTGTACTGTATTACAATAATATTCTATCCTATCATTAGGCTCATAATCCCACAACTGAAAACCATTCAAAAAGCTATTACGGTAACATCTTTTGAACGAAAGAAAGAGAAAGTCATTGCTTTCGTCACAATTTTATCCCACTTTCCACTGTAATACGTACGTCATTTCAGCAAAAATATTAGATTTCCATATTCTCAGAAATAAATAGTAGTTTTTTGAAACATAATGTACAGTATTTAATATTAAAATGCAAAAAGAGCTATAAAAACAAATAATACTGCACACCCGTAATGTACTGGCTGGCATCTCCACTCGTCCCTGCTCCCACCAGTCACCCCCTCCCCACTCTATCCCTCCGCCTCCTCCGCATCGTCACTACTATTGTATTACAATACAGTGACCCCTCGTTTAACGAACGCCTCGGTTAACGAAATTTCGGTTAACGAACTGCCTTCCATAAGGATCTTCAATTCGGTTAATGAACAAAAATTCGGTCAACGAATTTCTTACGAACCGACCTCAACATGTTTTCGCTTGCACTGACTGGGCAACCAGCTTTAGTACCAGTCAGCCAATACATTAATCGGTTCTAGGGCTTAAATTCCTTACTATTTTAGTAAATATCAAGAAGTTTATACTATTCAATAATTTTAAAAGTTTAATATTCAATTTTTTAGTCATTTTAACAATTATTTAACATAATTGTAGGTAAAGTGACTAGTTTAATGCGCGGCATCCAGCCTCTTAACACAGCAAACAGGCGTTAGTCTCTCTCTGTTTTCACTGGAGGTAACATCTTGCTTGACACTCTCTTCAACTAAACGCTTTTTTTCTGTGTTTCCAAGCAAATTATTGGTCATTTTGAAATTTATTTTACATATTGGCAATATATAATGCAGTGCAGTGTTGATTTAAAGAAAATAATCTTGAATTACACCAAGAGAGCTAAAATTTTATGGGTGAAATGGCGCCATGGGGTGACTTCTCTTCCACCCCAATGCCTTCTCTTTTTCCTTCTCCTCCAACCCCATTCTAAATCCCATCATCATCATCCAGGAGCCTTCTACATACACACCTCAAAGTAAGTGAACTTTTCTACCATTTTTGTTGAATTTAGGAAATTTTCGGTGAGCTGGAACCAATTACCCAAAAACCCATTGAAACAGTGGTTTCGGTTAACGAACGACCTTCTGGAACGGATTGAGTTCGTTAAACGAGGGGTCACTGTAATATTCTATCCTAATTCACTTGAATAAATACGAAGATACCATATTT